TTTAAAAAAAATAGCTTTAAAGTAAAATAACTTTTTTGTTTGTTTGTTGTTAGTCATCTTTCTTGCAAGTTTTTTTTTCTTCATCAGAATCTTCCTCTTTTTTCTTTTCTTTTTTTAGTTGATGAGCAACTTTTCACTTATAACTCTCTCTGCAGCCAGCCATGACTCCTGTGATCTTTCTTTTTCTCCCTGTGCTTATTATTTCAAGGCAAAAACATTGCTCAGCTTCTTGTTAAAAAAGATGTAAAAGTGCTGTACAATTGGTAAGCAGTTACGTTGGTGACAGGATAACCTGGCATTTAACTAAAATTGGCAAATTGCTTGCTAGATGGAGCTGTTTGCTGGCAGGACCTGGACTAGGAAGCTTCAGCTATTGGTCACTCCTCAATAATCTTTTTGTAATAAGCATTTCTCAATGTTTGTTGCCATGGGAATGACTGTAAGAGCTGGAATTACTATTTTTCCTTTGTGGAATCAGAAGGAACAAGCAGATGGCTGCAAAAGCAAGGATTCTTGTTTAGAAACATACAGCTCTTACTAGCAAACTTGACTTACTTGGGTTTTGTGTATGGTTCGTGAAGGATTTTTCTTGAGGTAAATGAAGTTGATTTTAGTTCACTCAATATCTGTCAATGTATTTAAGGAGATACATGGCCTGGTTTTGAAATGGGGAAAAACATGTAAGGAAAAATTACTTCTAGTGGTTTAATGTCTTGGGTAGCTACTACCATGAATGTGTATTGGATGTTACTGGTTAAGGGATGTTCATAGCAGCCAGACATGACGTGTAACAGAGTGAGACAGGAAGGGTTTTTTAGTTGTTGGATTTGGTTTGGTATCATCTCCCCTTTTGCCACTTCTCTCAGAAAATTTGGTGATGATCATTTTTGGACTTTATGCTTCCTGAATAATTCAAGAGCAAATACCAACACACCGGTCAGTTGTTGCTGTGTGCTTCTGTGTGCATTGCATGGAAATGTGAGAGTAACACCTTGCATCCTCATGAAGTCTAAAAGATCAAAAGCTCTGAATTGAATTCACAAAAATGAGACTTTAAAGAAGTGTGTGTAACTTTTTTTTTGTCTCTCTGACAGATCACAAGAAAAAGTTGCAATGTAGTTAAATTTGGGTTTGATTTTTTTATTTTATTTTCCGGGTTTTGGTGCTAGACAGTTCTAAGTAAAGGCTATGATCTGTGATGAATAGTCAGATTTGAGGAACTGAGGCTTTTCAAAGGAAATAAAAAATGCTGGTACCTTTAACAACATTCTTTACAGTACTTCACTCTGATTTCCTGTGCCTTGCACTGTAAATGAAGTTTTTCCTTCCTTGAATGCCACTCTGTTAAGGAGACAATTAGCTTATAAGAACAGATGAAAATTAGCGGATGAATATATAGATGAAATAAAAAGAGTAAGTGCTCTCTCTTTGAATTGTGGGGTCTAGATCTTAGGCTGCAGCTCCTGGAGGAGTGAGCGAGCTCCTCGGGAGCTGTGGTCGTTAGTGCCATCTAGTGGGCTAGGTGCGCAATGACAGCTGCTGTCCGTCAGGCAACCATGTCACCACCTGCTCTCCGCGGGACTGACGGTGCATGTGTCCTCTGCCACGCTGATGGCACGTTTGTGTTGCTCGGAGAAGTGCAGGCACTGCAGGAGTGACTTGAAATGTTGGACCAGATGATCCTTGAGGTCCCTTCTAACCTGATATTCTATGATAAATAGTCAAGCTTGAGACTCAGGCATTGTATTTTCCACACAACAGCTTTTGTAAAAAGCTGTAGCTGTTTGGAGGAGCACCATGCAAATCCTTCAGCTTTTATCCCGACAATTTCAGGGGCATGGAGAGGGGAAGCCACCATAATCTGGAAGCTGCATCCTCTTTGTGCATGTGCATAACCCCTTCTGTCTTATGCTGCTTCTGAAACTATGCAGTGGGAATGTTGTGTCTTGCTATTGTCTGTCTGGTGATGTGGTATCTTTCAGGAAGAAATGATGAGCCAGCTTATCTCACAGTTACTTGTTTTTCAGTCTGCCTTCCTATTTGTGTTCTTTGCTGTGCAAGGGCAGTTGTGGGTGCCAGGTTGTCAAGGTTATAAAAGTAGATGAAGATAGTAAAGGGTTTTTTTCCCCCACTGTTGTAATTGGAAACTGCTTTGAAAGATAAACTTTATAATTTCTGCTCTAAATTTTATTTATGGTCAGTTTATACTCTTAAACTGTTGTGCCAGTATTGTTCTTGAGTGGCTCCCCTCCCTCCTTAGGATTTATGCCTTTGAAGTTTTGAAGATAGCAATCGTATCCCTTCTCAGTCTCTGTCTTTGCCAAGCTATACAAGGCAAAGAATCACAGCTACTTCTTGTAAAATAAACAGTCCATTACCTGGACCATCTGACCCATCCTCCTCTGCACTTGATTATGGCTCACTTGTCAAGAGGTTGGCTTCAGCAAAGAGCCCTGCTGGCAACCTGCTATGACTTTGTTTTTGACCCTTGTCTTGTTTTGGGCAATGCCATCTGCTGAAGAGATTGGAAAAGTCTTTGTGGGTCTCAGATAAATAAATTCTCTACCCGTGTCTTAGGGGTTTGTGGGTACTAATGAAAGCATATAGTTTTTGTTGTCCTTTGCCAGCAGGGGTTGGCTTTGTTGCTGCATACAGTAGTGGTAGAGTATCAATATCTACACGCTTGCTCTTTTGTCCTTCCCTTTTGTGATTCTATTTCTTACAACTGTGTCCTAGTTCTCATTGGGAAAAACCAGTTGAACATGAACTTCCCGTGCAGTGTGGTGGAAAATCACTGTGCACTTGGATGTTACAGAAAGGGAAAAATGATTTTATTTCTTTTAAATCTGTGCGTGGCATTAGTGAAGCTATACCAGCATCTGTGTATGGCTCAAATGTAAACACTGCCTAAAGGCTCCTGAAAACAAAGAGCTGAAGACAGTGCCTTGCATGGGTACACTGTGCCCACACATGATGCCTTGGCACCTTTTGTGGAGACTGAAAAGTACATTCTTTTGAGCAGCATAGAGTCAACATAGCTCTAAACCCCTTTATTTCAGCCTCTCCCAAGCTGCTGTTTTCACTTAGATGACACTTCCCTTTTGTTGCCTCCAAAGTATTGGAAATTGAGCTTAGGACATCATAAGGATTCAGCAGAGCCTCCAGCTGTCAGGCTATGCACTAAGAGCATGTTTTGGAAATTGATAGTCTGTTAACTGTCATAGGCACACAAGATTCTCCAGCTTCTCCTGTTGCTTTGATACTGGAGAGGGTCTGGCAAATTACCCTGATGTGGTGATGTTCTGGATTGGCTAAATACATGTATATACATATATGTGTAACCACAAGCATAGGAGAAGATATAGAACTAATCAGTCTCCCAGTTATGTACAGGCAGCAACTGCTGAAATCAAAAAATCAAACAGGGTACAACAGGATATTGTAGGATGTGACTGGCAAAGATACGTTAGTGATCTGCATGTTCCTGGGGAAGCAAATGAGGAAATTGAGGAGAATCTGTTTCCTCTGCTTAGGCTTGGCAGGTGTTTGTACCTGTGCAATACATCTGGAACTGCAGAGAATGTTAACACTACTACAGCATTACTGCTTAAAGCAGTTGCCAAGCACACAAATACTGTGCTTGAAAAATCCGGGTGCTGCACATGTATAAGAATATCTTCTTATTAGATCACCAGCACCATCCCTAGTGAAGATGAGAACTGCAGCAGCTGATTTAAGCTTGGGTTTTAAGAGTCTTGAAAACATAATAGTCTCATGTTTTGAAGAATGAGCTCTGGTAACAAAATGTACTTAAGCTAAATTACTGTTGTGAAAGAATTTCTAAAGTATTCTGGTAAACAAAACATTTTATCTCATTATAGGTATTTTGGCACCTGTGTGTGGTAGTAGGAGCTATTTTTCCTGCTGTAGCTGGGTTTCTTTATATCCTTTTATTATGGTTGCTGCTAAATTTAGGCTGAAATTTCCCAGGCTTCCTGTGGTGTAGAAACAAATTCTTCAGAAGAATTTCAACAAAACTTACTGACATTTGGGAAGAATCTTCTTAGTTATTTCCAGTTAGTTTAATATGAGTGTGTTGGTACCAAGAAGCAGTGTCTACACTGGAGGAAATAAATGGTGTTATTACAGAGTCACTATATTATTCATGCAGCTGCATAAGTAGTTTTTTCCTTTCACCTTTCTCTGTAGGGTGGATCACTGGGGTTGCCAGTGGTGGTTTTGTTCATCTTAAAATGGCTCTGAAACTCATTGCTCTTGGATTCTTTTTTTTGTAATCCCAAACTTGAAAGGGCATCAAAGCACTTTTTGATTGTGGAGTTTGCAAGCGCATTGCAGTGCTACCCAGACTTCTGCATTTTATCTTGTAGTGTAGATGTTCAGAGCAAGGCTTTTACTTTCAGAAGTTTGCGACTGACTGTACTTACTAGTGTTTGTGTACACAAGTATTACCAGTTAGGCATATATTGTCTTTGTTTCGGTGACTGAATGGAACACTGCACCTTGCTGGGAATTACTGAGTAAGCTGTTCTGCCAGAATAAGGACTAATAAGTGTTCGTAGGCCAGGCTCTTGTTCAAATGGACTCGGATTAATAGCTTTATTTCTCTTTTCTTTATCTGTGAGGTGGCCATGTTGATGCATAGCTCTAGTGCCAAGTCAAACAACAAGCTGTTTGACCTTTTAACAACAGAAAATGCTGTTAGTGTGGAGGCTTATGAGGAACAGTTGAGAGAAAGGTCTGAACCTTCTGTTAGCTGCTATGTTCTGGAAATGCGAATGGAGACAAACTTATTACTACATGTAGTATAACATTGTACCCTGTACATCTGCTTTTCAGCTGTTGCTGCCTGTACATAATTAGGAAACTGATTAGTTCTCTATCTTGTCTCCTGTGTTTGTGGTTACAAAAAAGTAATGTCAATATGGTGTCTATGGTGGGAGGTGCTCACAAGAGAAGGGAAGTGACTTTTCTGTGGTTGCTGTGGTCTGATGAGATAAGGACAAATGAAGAAGCTGAGACTTGGATTCTCTTCATGTTTTGCAGCGGGTTGGCTGAATAGCCATGGTTACATTACAGGCACACACCAGGGCAACAGAGGTGCTGCTGTGTCCTGAAGCTGTGAGTTACCTAGCATCTACTGGAGTTGGGAGCATTGATGTTTGCACAGCACTTGGACAGTGAAGTCTTCCAGAGTGGTTTGGTGTGCACATCATGCACCTTCCGGTCCTTGTGGGGGTGTTAGCCAATATCCTGGGTCCCTTCACAGGAGGTGGCTGCTGAAGAAAGAAGCTGTGTCATAGAACTGGCCATGCCTTCTCTAGAAGATGCTTACCCTTCTTTTAGAGGGTGATCTGGGTGCTTCACCCCATATGTTGTTTAATGTGCTGGGCTGGATTAAAGGTTAGGTGCTGTCTGTGTCTGGGAGGAGAGCGGAGAAGGGGGAGCAGTAGGCACAAACCTCATATTTGACCCCTATCTCGGAGACTTGCTCCAGTGCAAAAGCCAAGGCCCAGTGCTAGGCCAGTTTTCCTGGCAGCTCCTGTCTGTTTTCTAGAATCTATCTGAGGATGCAGTTTGTTGTTTACCTGTTCAGAGGCTGTGAGTGTGCAATCTAGACATAGATGAGCTTTTGCAGAGGGTTTTTAAATACAGTATCCTTTACAAAAATAAATGATAATATATAGAATGTAGAAAAAAATGTCCTGATTACAGTATCTCTTTCTGTAATTGAACCTTTGCCTGGGACTCTTTCAGATCTGCCTTTATAAAATAGGATTGCTTCTGCTGCAGCTTCTGTCAGCTTGATCTGAGATTTGCCATGAGAGTAAAATAGAGCAGCTCTTATCCCCTTTCTACTTTGCAGTCTCCTTTATTGGATGACCACCTCAACACCTGGATGCAGTAACATCCTCTGCCTGGTGAGGGCACTACTAGGAAGCCGCCTCCTCGCAAGACAGATCTCGGTTGGCTCCATCTGCTCATGTCATCAGCGTGACAGAACTGACTTTGCTGCTCCTCTGTTAGTAGGTCTGTGTCATTAGAATGGAAATGGATGAAAAGAGAAGATAAAAAAATGAAAATTCTCAAAAGTGTTTGAAATAATGATGAAATAATGCTTCTTAGGGTATTCAGAAACCATGTTTCATGTTGGGGTCTCCTAAACTGCTCAAGAGAAGGTAGTTTAGCTATCTGGGCATCAGATTTTAATAATTTTGGCTTAAATTTGAAGGCAAAATTAGTAACTTGAGCATTTTTATAGTTTTATATGGTGTTTTCTGGCTTGAGTTTTTAAATTGCACATTGGTTTGTTTAGGGTGGCTTGTTGTCTGGGTCCTTTGCAGCTCTTTACCATCTCTTTGGTTCATGAATTTATACCGGTGGGCTTTTGGTTACTCAAGCTTGAACATTAATTTGTGGCAACTTGGACCTGAAGTCATGACTAAATTTTCTGAATCTTGCCTACCTCCAGAGTGTGGAGTAGAAAGTAGAAAGGTCTTTCTACTTGAAATGCAAAGTATTACACCAAAACCCAATGTTTAAAATTTTCTTTTGATTAAAATATTTAATGTATGGCTTTTATGATTTATGCATTTAAAACTGCACTTAGTCAAATCCAAAAGTTGCTTTTGTGTTCTCTCTCCATGGATGTCTGGTATAATATTAAAAAAAGAGGTTTTGTTTCTGTATTGACATGAACTCCTGCATATGCCCCAAAAATGAGCACACAGAAGTAGTTTCTTTTTGATTTTTAAATTGTTGACCCCCAAAGCACTGCGCACCTGTGAATTTCCAACTTTGCTCTCTCCTAGCTCTGACTTATTTTTTTCCCTCTAACCAATACTGTTATTTAGAGCCATTTACTGGGTTCTCTGTCTCTCCTTACAGCACTTCTCTCCATTGCTGAACAGGATTGTATCCCCAAGGTCCATACTGGCGGGAGGGTAGGAATTGATTTCATGGAAGGCAGACAGTTTGATGGACCTGTTTTTTCTGCTTTTCCCATACACTTTGTGGCAGTGTTTTTGTCTTTTTCATCCTTTCTTGATAAATATTTTTCTCTCTTCTGCAAATGTAAAATCAGGTGGAGTTGTGCATTACACTTGGAAACTAGATGTCATGATTTGAAGGGATGAAATAATTCTGTTGGCAGTTTACATCTTGTCAGTGCACCTCAGTGTAGCCTCTCACACATCTTATTCTATTCCTGTTTGATAGACTAAATGCTATTCTTTTTGCCTTAAAATGGCTTTGTGGGAATACTGGAAAAACACCATATCTCTCTGTCTTGGTAAAAGACAAAATCAGCTATAGGAGTTTGTATCCTGCAGAAATTCTGCATGCCTAATGAGTGTTCTGTGCTTCTCCTCAGTGCTTAGATCATTTGGCTGATCCATCTTCTGTTGGGAAGTGGTGCCAGTGAGGAGAGGTCTCTATGGGCGTTTTTGCATTAGTGAAGTGCAGTGTACTAATGCGTTCTCCTCAGCCAACCTCGCACTTTGCATGTTTGTTTTAAAACGCAAACCACATGTAATGTTGTACGCATGAACGGCTTTCCACTGCCCAGAGCTCCAGGTTTGTTCTTGAACTTTTAATAATAGTGAAAATGAAGGGAGGGCCTGTTTGTATTGTTTATAGTAGGAAAGAACAGTGCAAGATTTCATCTACTGCTGTTCAAATCCCTTGCTATTTTTGGTATTTGACCTCTGCAGAGAAGATTGCCAAAACTACAGGTTGTTTTCATTTGTATTAGTGTTTCTACCCTCCTACTCATGAGTTACTCTCATGTTACTGATTAAATCTTTGAGAAAGTTCCATTTCTTCCACATTTTCAATGGTATTTTTCAGAGAGGTAATTTTGTGTTTCTGTATGTTGTTCAGCTGACATTCCCTTTTGGAAATGAGAGCCATGCAATCTGGCAGCATATTGTGTACACCAGTAACACGAGAAGGAAAATAACTTACAAATTGCTCATTTTTTTTTTTTTTTAAACCTCTGGATTGAAGAGGACTCATGAGTCTGTTGGCTTGAGTTGAGATTGCAGCATTTAGAACACTGCACAAAGAGCACAGTGCTATATGCTGGGACAACATTGAGTCTTGAGTTTGTGCAGGTGAGCGTTTACCTCTCATTTGTCTGTCATTGAATAGGGCAGCTTTTGTCACCCCTGCTTCTAGTCTTGCTGTGTGGTTGTTTCCACGCTCAACTACTGAGAAATGTGTAACAAAGCATCTGAAAATCCTGTCCCGCCTCTTTGGCATCTCTTCCACATCATGCCTTCTATTCTGAAAAATCAAGCTTCTTTCTTTTTAAAAGGACCCTTGGGGGTCAAAATATTTTAGGTTATTTTAGACTACTGTATTCACACTGAAGTGTAATGAGTTTTGAGTGTCCTTCAAGAAGCTTGTTGTTCCTGGTTGTTGTGCTATCAAGGAGATGTGCAGGGCTTGCATAAAGTTAGTTCATAGAAAAGGTCAGGTGAATGTAGCCCCGGAGGACTAGATACAGTAACACAGAAGCTTCTGGGTTAATTTGTAAAAGGTGGCTTTGCCTTGCTCATGGGGTGCAGATGTGAATGCAGATGAGATGCAGCTGTTACATACAAGGAATGGTGATCTCTGAGGATGGGACCGCACTCCTGTTTCAAACACAAGTGACTGGCGATAGCCAAATACCTTCAGCCAGGTATATGTGTAATCCCAGTGGTAGTGTGTTCTTGGCACCTTATCACCTGGGTTTTGTCTGTGTTGAGACTAGATTAAGACCTCAGGCTGCTGTGAGCTGGAATAAGCAAAGTACCTGAATTTCATCAACTGCCTCACACTCTCAGCAAAGGAGGTAACTTGGGGAAAGAAAAGGTTTTTGGCCAGTGCTCTGTGTGATCTCTTCTGAGACTGGAACAGTTCAAGAGCAAGCTGTCTGTGCCCTCCAGAGTCTTTATGTCAGCCAGTTTATCACGTTAACATGAAGTTTTCATTATTGATCATTGCAATGGGCTGTTGTGCTATATCCAAAATATGTCAGGTTTCAAAGGGTTCTTTGTGGCAGAAACAAAACAGTTGTTGAAGTTAAAGAGTGCTCAACTAAAAGTGCTTCACTTCTGTGGTGCAGAGCACTATGTGCTTTGTAAGTGGCTGCAGTCCAATGCTTAGTTATCTTCTATTGTGTTTGGAAGACCATTGTTTCCTATTTGTCTCATAAGTTTAACACAGATCCTATTCCTGCCATTTAAATTTTCCCATCAAAATACAACAGTGACTTCCCCTCCTGAAAAGGAAGGGCTGGCAGCTACACCCTGAAGTTTGAGCATGAATTGTTTATATAACCTTCAATCACAATTTCATAGGAATCTGAAGACTTTCTTACTAGGGCAGACATTTTACTGAGTTTTGAGCATTGAAAATTGTATTGAATTGAAAACTGTACCCTCCAGCTTCCTAATGGTATAAATTGAACATCTGTCTGGAAACATGAACAGCATTTTCTGGTATTTCAGAATAGCTGTACTGATGTCATTCAGGGGTAAAAGCATAAGAGCTATCCAGGGCTAATTTTATTTCCCAGAAAATATTATTAAATCTGAATGAACATGCTTTTGCAGGCTCTGGCTTTTTACAACTTCTGGGTACTTGCAGAGTTCCCTCCCTTCCTCTCCCCAGCAGTAAAAGCTCCGACATGAGTGTTGCAGAAACAGCTTATTGAATAATATTCTCTATCAAAGTCAGTAATATTTAAACAAGTGCAGCTTGCTTTCCAAATGGATGACATTTGTCAGGAACACGTCTGTTTGAGTTTACTTGGCCTTTTGAGTATAAAAAGTCTGAATATTAGAGCTTGAAATTCAGGTCAGTCTGGAAAAGTACATTTTTCTCACAAAAAGTTTGCAGAGAGAACCCATTTTTTTTTTTAGTAACTGTATCACTACGGGATAGCTGGTTTATGAAGACTTCTTTCTCCACCTTCAAGCACATGCTTTTGAGATACTATTTAAATTGAAGCTTCCGTTGCAATTCTTCAGTAAATTGGATTAAGTAGAGGTTGTTCTTATAGATAATATTAAAATATTTTATTTCTTAAATTTAAATTACTATTTTGCATGGGAGTTCAGTAGTTTTGTGCTTAAGCAGTGTGGCACAAGGTCTTTCAGAACAGTTTGCTTTATGTAATAGTTCTAGTAAAAGCTTGTTCCATTTGAGGACATACCCAGAAAAGCAAGTAAGGAGCAAGCTCTGTGGGTAGGGTTCTGTGCAGGCTAATGCCAGAAAACATGCTGAACTTCTCTTCAGAGGGGAAAGGAGTTTCCACAGGATGTCTGCGTTTTATGGCAAAAATTACTTGTAGATGTGCTCTGAAAGGTTGCCTTGATTTAAAGATTAACCTGAGGACCTCGTTGTCAGGATGTTACTGAAGAAAATAGCTTAGTGAGATTATTTGTGACTTGGGAATTGAGTGTGCCTACTTAAGCTGTTTTTAAGAATTTGCTCGTTTGTCACACGCTGTTGTGAATGTGTACCAAATGGGAGGAGGGAAAGCAAAACCCTGAAAGTACAAGCAGCACCTCAAAGAAAAAAATCAACCAAACAGCAGAATGCAGTTTTGTCATAGCAGTCTGTACCAGTGGGAAGTCATGGGGGTGTTGACCCCCTAAAACATGCTGTGGTACCCTCAGTGTTCAGGGGGAGGGGGTTTAACACAAGAAAGTCATCTAATTGAGCCTTTAATTTTAACAGGAGTCATTCAGGTGGATGATTGTGCTTACTTAAGGTACTCCACTGCAGCTTCCTTTTCAAAATGGTTGTAGCTTGTGAACTCACTAAAACCATGTATTGTTTATGAATGCAAATATCTCTTTCAAATTTAAATTGTTCAGTGTTTTTTTTTTTTTTTTACTCTGAATTGCTGAAAGCCTTTACTGCAGTCGAAGAATTGAATTTGCCTTTGTGTTACAGGAGAGAACTCTCTCTTTTTTTGGGGGGGGGTTGTCTAGGAGGGTTCAATTGTGCTAGAGGAGAATTGCCTCTGAAGGGGAGATTTTTATCAGTTGCACAAAGAGCCAGCATTTTGTGGTTTTGTAGGAGGCTCAAAAACCATTTAGGGCCTTAGGAGAATTGATGAAAAAGGCAAAGGTGCTTAACTCCAGTGAATTCCACTGATGTCATGTGGCCTGTTTAGGTGGTCTGTGGTATGCTGACAGGGGTTCATGTGCGTCATTGGGCACCTAAATACTTGTAAAATTTATCTCATCTGGCCATTTCAGGGAGTAGTTGTATGTAATTTTGGTCTCGTTGTCTGCCTACCCTTTGCACATCCCTCAGCAGAAAAGTTCTCACAAGAAGTCTCCTGCAGTTGTATTGAAGCAGCTATTTGTAGGCTGTGCCTCTAGCAGCTTCTTAGGACACCTCCTCAGGTCGTAGTGATGACTTCATTTTCTTTCCAGTTGTGGGGAACATTGCTTTATGAAAAAAAAGTGAATTTAGTGAAGTGGCTTTCACAGGATTTGCAGACAGACTATTGGATCTTTCACGGGGGGCTTATGATGTAGTGCTTACAAGTCATAAGAGGCTGAACTCCTTAACTTGAGGAGCCCTTTCCAGTTCTGTGTTTCTGTAAATGAAGTGGTAGTGTCTAGGACATCAGGATAATTAAGTTTTAACTGCACACATCATTTCTGTGCAGGATGCTTTTTTACACATTTTTAAAGCTAGTGTTATTTAAGAATGCTATAATTAAAACTCACCTTGGTTTGTATTTATCACAGGTTTTTGACAACATTAGGAACAGCATTTGAGATGACAGCAGTGGAGAAGATTGAGGAGCAGCTTGCTAGTCTAAGCATAGCAAAACGTTCTATGCTACTTGAGGAGCCTGCTTACTTGCTAGATATAGACGTTTCCAAACCAGCTCAATCCGAAAGCAGTCGCTTTGTGGCAGTTTCATGTTCCAATAAGTCAATTAGGGTCTATAACAGGGAAACATTAAGCTTCCTGCGGGAGTACAGTAACCATCCTGGGATACTTAATGGAGTCCGATTTGCACACACATGTGACAGCACAGTGTTTTCAGCATGCAGTGATGGTACAGTGAAGTGTTGGGATATTCGTTTATCAACTCAGAAAGCTGTGCAGGTATTCCATGGCTATCCTTCCAATGTTCTCATCAGTTTTGATGTCAACTGCAGTGATACCATACTTTGTGCTGGAACAGAAAAAGTCGAAAAGGACACATTTCTGGTGTTTTGGGATGCAAGAGGCGTTGCGAACTGCGCCAGCACAAGTAAAGAACCCTTGGGAGTCTACTCTGAAAGTCACAATGATGATATCACTAAAATTTGCTTTCATCCTATCAAACCCAATTTGGTAGTTTCTGGGTCAACCGATGGGTTGGTTAATGTGTTTGACATTAACAAGGATAATGAAGATGATGCTTTGATATCAACTTGCAATTCAGATTCATCAGTAAGTTTTATTGGCTGGTCTGGGAAAGATTATAAACAGGTCTACTGCGTGACACATGATGAGGGATTTTGTTGGTGGGACATGGCTCAGCTAGATACTGAAGACCCAATAACACTATTGCATGTTGTGGATGTCAGAGAGGCAGTCCATCCTGAAAATGACAGCTTACATTACCTGTTAGGTGGTTTGTACCACGAAAAGGCAGACAAACTCTTCCTTATTGGGGGAACATCCAGAGGAAACATTCACCTCATGAGCTGCAGCACCGATGGCCTGAGCCTGGTGGGTACCCTTTGCAGAGGACACTCTGCTCCTGTTCGCTCTTTCTGCTGGAACCTGACAGATGAGTCTCTGCTGACGGGCGGAGAGGATGCGCAGCTGCTGCTATGGAAACCCGGCGCTGCTGAAAGGGCCCTCACAAAGAAGGCGTCTATGAAGATTGCATCTTCCATGCAGAAAAGAGTGAGAGTTCACAAGAGCTCCCTCAAAAGCAGGAAAAGGTAGCATCCTGAAAGCGGGGATCTCTGCTGTGTAGAGCTTTCCCGGTGTTTAATCTCTCAGGCAATTCTCGGCTGTGCTTTATTTGGAGGTGTTCTGTGGAAGGAACTGTGGTGCTTGAGTTCTACCCGGGAATGATGTATTTCAGTCATTAGAAATGACTTATGCCTTTTTATGGGTTTTGTTTGTTTTGTGTATTTGCATTTTTTTAAAGTAGCGAATATTAATCAGAAAGGAGTACATGTTTGCCTGGAATTCTTGAAAAATATTTCTTATATTATATAAAAATGTTTCTGTGGTTGTTTCATGTCTCAGCCAACAATTTTAATGTGTAGTACAGGCCTGTGGCTTGCATAATTTGTTACCTTCCCACTAAAATTCCCTGGCATGTTTTAAATGCTTTTGTATTTCATGCAGTATTTTGCTTTCTTTACAGAAACTTTAATGAAATTGCTCAATATAATAAAAGATTTTATGTCACATCTTTACGTCTGAAGGAATTACTTCTTGGTAAAACAGAAAGTAAGCACTGTTTTGCACCGTCATGTCAGTGGTTTATAACAGGCTCATAAAGAAGCAGTGGATACAGCCCTATGTTTCATAGCAAAGATATGAATGTATTCAACCAAAGAGGAACACAGGATTCCAACCATCTCATTTTTAAGTGTATGAGAACTGTGAAACTGGCATTATTTAGGGCATAGTTCCTCCATGAAGATACCCAACAACCTTGTAAGGAGCTTCATTCTCTCCTGGTAAGTACATCTCAGGGAGGTACACCTGGAAGATTGCAGCAATCTTCCATTGGTTAAAGAAATAGATAGGTATAATTACAGCGGTTGTGCTTCAAGTCCCAAATCCTGCATTTAAAATAAGCCAGTACCACATGCTAAGAGGGGATGTTAAAACCCAAAAATGAATGATGCCTTGTGAGGCTGGACAGAGTGCCAGCCAACATGAGGAGACTGTAACAAAACTTTTAGAGGTTAGTGTGTGTCCTTTAAGAACTGTTTCTCTCTGCAGAGAGGTTTTGTGCTTAGACATCTCCCCAGCACAGCCCTGTTTTAGTGTTCCATCAGATACCTATTATGTAATGCAAAAATTGCCCTGTACTTCCGAAATGGGTGAGTCTTTATGCTTATTCTTCTTCCCTAGCGGACTACAATCTCTGCGTGTGGCTCTGCACATGCAATTACCTTCTTCCTTCTGAGGATCGTTGGAGGTCGCATGGTGGTTGGTAACTATGCCATAATTAACGTGTGGACTACAACTGAAGACAGCACAAGAGTGTTTCAGTATTGCTATGGTATGGCATAGTTGGCAAAAGAGGGGCTGGGTTTAGTTTTTCATCTGAGACTGGAGAAGTAATTCTTTTGACAACAAGCTTGAATGTCAGGTTTTGAAGATTAGTCTGGAGTTCAGAAGGTTCCCAAGGCACAGAGGATAACTCTAGTAGATGCTAGCAACTGCACTGAAGATGTCCTCATCATCTCTGAAAACAAATCCTATTCAACCACAAGTATCAAGTTTCCACATAATACATTTCCCAAACTGTTCATATCTTTGAGCCACAATTATGCATCCATGGTTGTTTTGGGTCTGTGCATTGGTGATAATTGAGATGGTTCCCTTGTTTTTGTTACTGCTGGTTATTTAAAAATGCAGCTTCACTTTAAAAATCACATTTCTCAACCTTTAATGCCTGCTGTTAAATTCAAGTTCCACCCAACATCCTTGTCTGGTGCTTTTCAAATTGCTCTGTGCAATTTGAGACCATTTGGGCAGTGTCAGGACTGTGATGCACCTGGATCATGTGCCCTTTTGAGATTTATTCTCCTAGATCACTCGATATTGCCCATTTCTGTGGAATTCTGTGAGTGGACCGGAAGCCCTCATGGGCCTGATGGGGTTCAGTACCAGTAGCTGGGGAGTGGGGAACTAAAGGATGATTGAGACTTACTTCATGGCAAGTACAGCAAGTAACTTGCTTTTCAGGTGTTCTGCCACTCTCTTTCTGGTATCTTGATGCACACAGTGGAGTAGGGTCATTGGCTTTGTCTAATGCTTGATTTGAAAGGTTTTGTTTGCTACATAGAGGAATGCCCAGTGCAGGAGCTCCTGGTTGCCTCTGCCTGCTCCGAGGTGTCTGCTGAGCAGGTGAAGGTCTGCTCTGCCAGCTCTCTCCAATTTAAAGCAGCAGAGATGGGAGTGCTGGTACTGGAGTGCTTGAAGTATGCAACCTGTATCTGCTAGCTTGTTTCTGAATTAGATCAATCTGTCATAACAAATCGATATCATCACAGTTAAAGCTATGCTTTTCCCTAAGTTTATTTCTCCCATTTATATGCATAACTTCAGCAGTAGTGGAAGGGAAAAAATGTATGTATATGTCTTAAAATTCTGCAAAAGCACGGCAGCTGTCAGGAATCTCAGGCTTGTGTTGCCTCTGAAAATGCTTGATTTCTTTTGTGTTGACTTAATTTCAGGTTAACATCTATAGAGATGGAAACTACATGTTAACTAGTAAATAGCATTGCTTGCTTTTGTAAACTGCAAAGGCTGTTTCATAGACCACAGAGCACAGGCACAATACATATATAATCATAAATAACAGACTTGAAATTAGGCAGGTTGACTTGTCTGTGTTTAATCTCTTGGATTAGTTTTCATGTCTGTAAATTGACTTCAGCATTGTTAAGAAACAGAGAATCACAGAATGGTTTGGGTTGGAAGTGACCTTTAAATGCCATTTAATCCATCCCCCACTGCAATGAGCAGGAACATCTTCGGCTAGAGCAGGTTGCTCACAGCCCTGTCCAACCTGGCGTTGAATGTTTCCAGGGATGGCGCATCTGCCACCTCTCTGGGCAGCCTGTGCCAGTGTTTCACCACCCTCATCATAAAAAAGCTCTCCCTCATACCTAGTCTGAGTGTACCCTCGTTTAGTTTAAAACCATTGTGCCTTGTCCTGTTGCTACTGGCCCTGCAAAACAGTTTGTCCCCATCTTTCTTATAAGCCACCTTCAAGTATTGAAACACTGCAATAAGGTCTCCCTGGAGCCTTCTCTTCTCCAGGCTGAACAAGCCCAACTCTTAGCCTGTCTCCATAGGGACTGCGATCTCTGATCATCTTCGTGGCCTTCCTCTGGACTTGCTCCCACAGGTTTGTGTCCATGTGTCAGAGGCTGCAGAGCTGGATGCAGTACTCCAGGTGGGGTTTCAGAGGAGCAGAGGGGGAGAATCACTTCTCTCGCCCTGCTGGTCATGTTTGGCTTTCTGGACTGTGAGCGCACACTTCTGGGTCCTGTCCAGCTTTTCATCCACCAGCACCCCAAGTCCTTGTCCACAGGTTTGCTCTCAATCCCTTCATCTCCAGCCTGTGTTGGTACCAGGGTAGTCCCAACCCAAGTGCAGGGCTTTGCCCTTGGCCTTGTGTAACCTCCTGAGGTTTGCATAGGCCTACCTCTGGAGCCTGTCCAGCTCCCTCTGGATGGTATCCTGTCCCTCAGGCGTGTCAGCCACACCATGCATCTTGGTGTCATCTGCAAACTGGCTGAGGGAGCACTCGATCCCATTGTCCGTGTCGCTGGTGAAGATACTAAACAATATTGGTCTCAGTACAGACACCTGAGGGACACCACTCATCACTGAGCTCCATCTGGACATGGAGCTGTTACCCACTACTCTCTGGATGTGACTGGCCATCCAATTCCTTGTCTACTGAGCAGTCCGCTGATTAAATCCACACCTCTCCAGTTTAGAGAGAAGAATGCCGTGGGGACTGTGTCAAAGGCCTTACAGAAGTCCAGATTTGACCTTTATAAAACTTATGTAATTGAAGCTCTATGCAGCAGCTGGCGTTCAGGAATCATCTCCGTGTGAATGTTTAACCCCAGGGGAAGCTTTCATTCCGGAAGCAGGATCAGATTTTTTTCCAGTAAATGAAAAGTGAAAATCCAGATAGGCTACCTAAGTGCACAAAAACGTCCATCTTCATTCAGAGATTATAGTAAACCTGTCACGGAGTATTTCTGAGCAGCAGGAGATTATCCTGCTGTGAACACATGAGAATAAACTTCCTTGCATTTGGCACGTTCCTCAATTTCCTCTGTTTCTTTTTCTCTTCTCTGTAAGTAAAATCCAATACTTGCACCCTTACCATGTTGTGAGGGTGAACACCACGTTGAACACGAGCTGGCTGCCTTTTCTTGAAGTACGGGTTTACAGTTTCGTGTGTTCAAGTAAAAGACGTATCAGGATGACGTCCCATAGGCAGCGAGTGATTTCAGCAATTCTTTCAGTAGAGTGTAGGATTTTACCCACACTCTGGAACTGCGGTGGAAATTATTTGACAAACTAAAGATGTGGATTCATTTCTAGGTGGAATTTAGTTAGCCAGTAACCAGCCAGAAACAATTTCGTGAACAGATAGTGTACAGCGTGTGTGCCATGTATTCAAATGGACGTAACTGCATATCTACATTGAAATCCTTATTAGCAAAGATGCTGATGCAGCAATAGATTTTAAAGACATAAAGTGTAAGCTTTATGTTATGTTTTTGAAAGGTGGCTTTCTCTCGGCTAGTGATCTTGTGCAACTCTGTAGGCCATACTCTTGTATAAAGCAATAGATTTTGTCCTGTGAAGTGCTGACTCAGGAGTGGTTCTTTTGTGGTGTTCAAGGCTGGGCACCTGCACGCTCCTGTAGCCACATCTTGTCTTTGGTGCTGGGGCTCACGCCTGTCCCGAGGGAGCCTGGCCCAAATGTTGGTGTTGGTATGGATGCAGGTAATTGCCAGGTCACTTAATGGCAAAGCTTTTGCACTCCTGAAAGAGCTGACACTTCTGGCCCACCTCATAAAGCTTGTCTACATCTGCCGTGGCTATTTTGGAGTTAATTCTCTCCATCCCTTCAAAATACTGTTCCATTATTTGGCTGCTTAGCCTTTTTTGGGGGGTTATCATGAGTTGTGTCCTGGTGTCTGCTTTTCTGGGGGTAACAGGTCCCATCCCTTTCCCCATGGGCTCTCCTGTCTTGTGTGTAGGCTGCTCGGCTCTGCACTTCATATTGCACCAGGTGGGGGGTGGGAAGCAGAAAGAGGGAAGAGAGAAGGGAGGTTGGCCCTTGCTCACAGGGGCTGGGTGTCTCTAACTTGTGCTGGCAATGAGGAAAGCCGCTGTTCAAGCCAGTACTGCTGCTGCTTGGTTCTGCAGGAGCCAATGGATTTGGGGATTTCAAATTCCTTGGAAAAAAGGGAGGCAAAAGTGAGTGTGGAGATGACAGCTGAAGGCAGCAATTCAGGCTGTGAACTGAGAGCTGTCAGGTGACAATGCAGTGCTGCATTCCTTGGTTCCTTACCAGAATTATTTGCAGATAACTTGGCAATCAGTTGTGAGGATCTTTGGTACTTCTCATTTTCTGTTTCCTTTTTCGACACCAGTTCATAAGCAGCACAGATATGTTGGCTGATGGGGGCCGAGT